TATATATATATATATATAAGAATAAAATTCATTATCTTAAAAATTATGTACATTTAAATAGTTATTCAATTTGATATAATTTCATGCCAAAAACTTCTTTTTCTTCAAATTTACTACTTTGAATTTTATAATTTAATAATACGTAGTTATTAACTATTGCATATTATTCATACTAACAATATTCTTTTATTTTTCGTTCAGGTACAGTGATAGTTATACTTTTTGCTGCAAAGCCTCGAAAGTTGTACAACTTCACGCTTGTCTACCTCCTCCTGATGAGATATCTTCTTGCGAGGATCTGATGAGCAGTCAAGTTCAGAGAGCATTCCTCTGGGTTCTCGGTACCATCGCCCTTTTGGGCAATCTATTTGTCATTGTCTGGCGATTCAAAACCAATGATGGTAACAGGATCAGCTCCTCTCTCATTCTAAGCTTAGGCTTTGCGGACTTGCTGATGGGTTTTTATCTCATCATCATCGCCAGCGTAGATGTTCATTACCGAAGTATTTACATCGAAAACTCTGACAAATGGAAGCGTAGTACACTTTGTAAGATTTGTGGCTTCCTCTCTACTGTATCCAACGAAGTGTCTGTACTGACTTTGGCTTTCATCACGATAGACAGACTTTTGTGCCTCTGCTTTCCACTTTCTCAGAAACGATTCAGTTCACAATTCACTTACAAACTCATCGCTTCATCATGGGTTGCAGCCGTCATCATGGCAGCCATACCCCTAGTTGTTGAGCCATACTTCCAAGGTAGATTCTATGCCCGATCTGGTGTATGCTTGGCGTTGCATATTACGAACCATAGACCCGCTGGATGGGAGTACTCGGTAGCAATTTTCTTTTGTATGAACACTATTGCTTTCATCATAATCGTTGCTTCTTATTTATACATGTATTATACCATCAAGAAATCTTATAAAAATATGAGCCGTCTTATGTCTCGTCATTCTAGAGAGAGCAAAATAGGAAGACAAATGGCGCTTATTGTCTTGACCAATTCAGCGTGTTGGATACCAATCATTGTTATGGGCTTATTGGCAATGTCTGGAGTAAATGTAACTGGTAAGTATAGAAAGTATGCGCTAAACATACTGTTGAAAGAATCCTTTTTTTTCTTCAATTTTTTAGTTATTTATTCTTCTTTTTAATTTTAGTTTCCAGTTATATTTTTGCTTAAAAATTATTTATATTTTACTCTTTATAGCAGGTTTTTCAACGATTTGCTATCTACAGAGCAAACTGAAAATTTCACTATTTCTTTGCATTGTACTATTTAATATTTTTTAATTGTAATGTTACCAAATAATTACAGGGGAAGCATACTCATGGACAGCTATTTTTGTTTTACCATTGAATTCAGCAACAAACCCATTAATATACACTATTTCATCTTTGCATTTTCATACTAGACTTTTATCAAGGTTTGGACTAACCAAAAAAGATTTAAGAAGTTCATACGTCAGTAAACTCACAAATTCTAGACCGAGTAAGTTGAGTATTGAAAACTTCTTTTTTAGTATTATGAAATCATTAATGTTTTTGCTGGTGCATTTAACTCATTTAATCGAACAGCAGCAAGCATTTAAAAACTTTTTAAAAATTGTGGTTGTTTAATTAAAACACCGAATCTGCTTTTCATACCAGAAATAATTAAAAATAAAATCTAATGAGGTTAATAAGTTATTGTTTGTTACTGTAGTTTTCTTTTATAGTGGTCCTGCATTTAACGATATTCTGGATTTAATGAAATATCGCAAATTCGAAGAAACAGTTTGGAACAATGTTATAAGTCTTTTGTTTGGTATCATGTTTAAACTGCAATGGAGTGTAGTGTTTAAGGGTGCAATTTTACACCATTCTCGCATTTTGAGAGAAAAAGTATTACAGCATGGAAAATAGAACATGATATTGAAACCATTTATTCGGTAAAATTTAATTTTCAGATAGGTACTTTTTACTAAATGCGTGGTAGTACGAACTACAATTCGGAGTATTCCGGTATTTCTGGTATTCCGTTAATATATATATATATAAATATATATATATANAAAAAAATTGAAAACACAAGTTTGAAATTTACTAATTTTTATTAACATATATATATATATATATATATGTGGGGAATTTACCGATTGAATGGTTTAAATACGTTATTTTTGTTTTATTAACCAGAGATATGTTTTTTTTCTTAGAAATGTCATTACCATGCCGTATAGAAATTGTACTAGAATTTTTCTCTCTGTGTGCATTGCGTGCTTTTCATCGAAAATTAATGATTGCTAGTTAAATTAGTTTTCTCTTATTATTAATATTATCTAAAATAAATTCGTATAAATTGATTTTTTTATGATTAATTATTTTGGCAATAACTTAGATTTCGTATTTGGCGAAGAGACCGTATTTAGCAAGCATTTTCTTATTTCTCGAGTTCCTTATTAAATATAAGTCCTACTGTAGTATTTAATGTTATTCAATTTTTGCAACTATAGATACGGATAATCTTTTTTTTCCCTTCAAAATATCCTTCCAGACCCAGACAAAAGCAAGCGAATGATGCTGCGACATGATACACTTGATTCTAGACCATTTAAACCACCCTATGGCTATGTGAGTCTTCTTCAATATTTGAGGACTGTTCCTGGATTGAGACCACGCCATCTACTCAAAATTGCGACTGCTATTTGCAAGACACTCACTGAATTACATTCTGCAAGTTATGCTTTGGGTGGCATTGATGTGAATGCTGTATTCGTTTGTGAGAATACTGTAAGTAAACAATAAGTTTCACTTTACGGTAGAAAATATTTTCCTAAATCAGATTGTTACTCTTAATTGGATTTTTTTGAAGCTTCCTTAAGGAGAAGTGATTCCGTGATTCTTTTGATTGTCGAAGGCCACTTATAGTCTTATTTGCACTTACTTTAAAAATTCGAAGTTCGACTATTTATAGCATATACAAAATAAAATGCTTATCAATATCTGGTTAACTCATTCTGTCAGTTTAAGTCCTTTTATTTAATACCCATCCAAGGTTCATAAAATTAGCATCTTTTTAGGTTAATAATAATCTTGAAATACTAACTGCATCTACCATAATAAGAAATTCTATTAAAAAAATTATGATTTTATATTCATAATGTAATAAATAAACGTTTTGAAAGAAAAATATGTAACCCTTTGATGCAGTGGAATGTCAGTCCCTCTGTCTCCCAGTGACTCTTTTTTATATCTTTTCAAATTCCCTAATTTCAAGTAAAAATATATTTTGTATTTTTTAATTATAAAAACAATCTAATAGTCACTAAAATATTTATTAGATTATCGATATTATAATTTGTATTAAAATATTAAATCCAAAAAGAGTAGTTTTTTCCCTTCATATTCAAATATTCATTAATAAAGGATTTTTTAAATTGAAGAAATTGTAATCATGTATAACTTTTCTCTTATTTCTAAAGAACTGCAAATAAATGTAAATTTGAAAAATTATTGTAAGCAAGTTTTTGGAATGTTTTACCTTTAACGCAGAAAAAAACACTGCTGTCTCATACTGTATTTAATAACCATAAATTATTGAAATGCTTAATATAATATTTTTCTCTTATTTTGACCTAAATAAATACAAAATAATGAAAAAAATGTTTAATTAAAACTCTGCGTCTATGTGTAAATACGTGTAATACGTGTTTAAACTTGGGATTTACATTAACCTTACGGCTTCTAATTGCGATATATTTTATTTATTGTTCTGATGCAGATTTTATTTATTGTGTACTAAGTTAAAAAATATTATAATATCATTCTCAATTTTTTATAGGACAATAGTGACGAAATTCACGTGTATGTGCCAGATTTTAATGCATACAAGATTGTATCATCTCCTATAAGTGGAATGCCGGATGATACAACCGTTGATATGGAGGAGTTCGGACTTTTGGTGAAAAAAATGCTCAGAGTTTATCATGTTGTATCACGTTCTAACGATCCCATGCAAGGAACAGCATGTTAGTCGAAGAATGTAATTTCATCTTATTTGTATCACAGTACATCATATGTTTGATAAAATAAAGAATGAAACCTTAATGAATGAAACCTTAATGAATCTTTATTAAAATTGTTAGTCAAGTCATTTTACAACGCAAATATTGAACGCTTATTTTAGAAGTACTTATTTGTGTTTGGTTGTTTACATTCATACAAATAGTAGTGTCCCGCAAAGCACTGATCGTTAAGGCATGGTTATCAGTTGATCAGCATTACCGGCAGTGTTCCGTGAGTGGGTGGTTGACCACTTTGATCTGACTGTGACGGAGATTGTTAGGTATTGGTCCTCGTTAAGCTGTTCTACCGAAATACTTATTTGAGTTTTGTTGTTTACATTCATGCAAGCAGTAGTGTGCAGCAAAGGACTGATCGTTAAGGCATGGTTTTCAGTTGGTCAGTATCACCAGTAGCGGTCAGTGAATGGGTGGCATTTTTTTGAGGAAAGAATCTTTTTTGTGCTCTTTGTGTTACTGAAGCAGTTAGCAATTAAAAATATATCTGTGCAACTAACTTAAAATGTTTGAAAGGTATTTCATAGAAATCCAAAATGTTGTATTTCCTAAATAACACATCCTTATCTGTAATAAAATTCCTGTGAAAATAGAGACGTCGCGATAAGCTTAGATTATTCAAAATGTGTTTAAAATTTATACATCTTCTAATCATAACAGAAATGTTATTTCATAGCAGAAATGTTAATTGTAAAACATTTTTCCAAGTACATTGCCATTATCCCATGCACACACGTATAGACAGCACACATGTATGCTGGTCAACTGTTGTTTACGATATGATTAACATGATAATGCAAAAAGTAATTTTGTTTCGCGTAGTGCAAGTTTTAGTTTATTTTAAAAGTTTTTTATGCATTTTTGGTTTCAAAATCAGCTCTATTTACTTATTTACATATATTTTTTTTGCAAATTACATTATTTGCATTTCTTATTTATCTTTCTTATATGCTTTTTCATATTTACTAAGAAATATTTTTCCAACTTCATTTTATATATAATATAAAAATATATAATATACAAATTCTGAATTTATTTTAAAATAAAGTAATTATAAAAATTGTTGTGCCAATTTAAAAACACATTTGCACATTAAATTTAAAATTTAGCGAATCTAAATTCGTATTAAAAATAAGCTATTTTTAAAAAAAAATTGATTTCTACAGCTTTATTAATGTTAAAATAAAAAATTATTCAAGAACAAAACAAATTATTTTGGAGTAATTTAGATTCCACTATTATATAATTAATCAAAAATTGCAATAGCTTGTAAAATTGTTTCCAGATACAATTTTTTAGTTACATTTTCAGAAAAATTGGTTTTTAATTGAACCACAAAATTGGTACCTCCAACCGTAATACAGTAGGAGGTTTTTCAATAGCGCAAACCAAGAAAGCCGGGGCCTTGCGCCTCATATAATTTTATGTTACATAGATCATTTTACTTAACAACTACATAAGACAATTGTCTGAAACAGATCAAACTTAATATGATTTAAAATAATTTTATAATACAAATACTTAAAAACACAAAATATTCGCATACGTATTAATAATTCACAAAAAAAAATATTTAAATTTTCTCCAGCATTAGAGTTAGGAACAAACAAACGAATCAATTTTGGATTTCAAATTTGAATAAGCTTTTGAAATTTTAATCTTTTAGGAAATATTTAAACAAATAAAGTAGAAAAGTTTATAGTTCTTGCTTAGTCATGGAAATTTCTTCACTGCAAATTGCATTGCTTACATCAAGCTAATGTGGCTTACGGAGAATTGAGATTTATAAAATCGACTTACATACATCTTCTACTGTACAGTGAAGTAAAGATCCGATTTAATCTTGTATAATGAAGTAATGAGTTTATAGTAAGAAACGGTATAAAACTACGAAAATTATATAGTAAAAAAACTAAATTTTATTTAAATGAAATTTCAAAGTTTATTTGTAAATCGCATTTTGTAACGGAAATTAAACACGCTTAATTTTATAGCTCATGTGCTCAATATATTATACTTTTCAGTTCACTTAACCACTCAATTGTCTGAAATGCTTTTATAATTAATCTTCTGTTTGAGTTAAATAACTTTCCTCCATTGAAAGACTTGTGTCTGAGTCCAAAATATTAGAGAAGCTGCTCTTGCTTTCATTACTTGAGGTTTCTTTTCTTCTGCTTTGTTTCATTAATTTTCTGTATTCTTTGTATGTAATTACTGATAAATTGCGTTTTTCACACCATTTCTTCACCAAAACATATTCTATAAAAAAAGATAAATCTACATGTATACTAGATAACACTGAAAACGGAATTTATATAACGGTTTCTACGGAATTTACATAAAGTTTCGTTTGACAAATAATTAAAAGGACTCCAGTAACAGGCTTTGCGGGGCCAAGAAAGTAATGCATGCTGAAGGGTAAGACTTATGCCATTAGGGTGGTGCAGTCAGAATTTCGAAAACGATCGATCTAAACAGTTGATGTCAGTTTCCATAGAACTACCAGTGATTTCTTTAATCCTATCTCGTTTTCAATCTTATACTAGGAACATGTATAGTTTTTTGAAGTAAAACGCAATTAGGGATATATTTATGCATATACATAACACAGTTAATGATTGTCAAGGCACCGAAAATATATAAACCAGAAACTTAGACTTAATTTAATCAGAAAGCCTATTTTATTTTATAAATAAAGATTATTTGGGCTTTCATTGCATGATTTGTTTTTCTACATGAAAATTCACCTGTTTAAATACGTTCGTTCCTTCCATAGTTTTGGAACTTAATATACGTTTTTCGTTTATTGATTAATGAAGTAATTCAGAAGAGGAAATATAATTCAGCTCCCATTTAAAATATCAATTGATGGTAAAAAATTTATTCTGGATCTAAAAGCTTCACAATTTTGACACCAATTGCATGATGGGAAAGATGTGATCAATATCACATCTTTATTTCCCTGAAAAGCTCAAGAACAATCGATCTGAACCGCTGGAGATAAAACCTCAACCCTTCATAATGACAGCTGAGTGTTGTATTGTGCTTTTATCGCAGGCATCACTTTGTTGTAAATACTTTCTAGTGTAAGACAATATTATTTTTTGTTTGCACTATTTTTAAATAAAGTCATCAGTTTCGGTGATCACTTTTCCCTTATCAGTATTCAATTTACATCAATCATTAATCAGTAGAATAACAAGCATTACATCATCATTAATCATCAATTAAATCATCAATTATTAATATCATTAAATCATCAATCATCAATTATTAATATCATTAAATCATCAATCATCAATTATTAAAATCATTAAATCATCAATAATCAATTATTAATATTATTAAATCATCAATTATTAATATCATTAAATCATCAATTATTAATATCATTAAATCATCAATCATTGAAATCATCAATCATCCTCATCAATTAACAATCATCATTACATCAATCATTACATTACATCAATTGCCTCTTTTCAATCTACAACCCTCAACATCTTCAACCCTTTTCGCTCACTTAATATTTTGTTTTTGAATTCTATGGCGAAAAAATATACTGTACTTTATCTTAACTATTAATTTCATTTTGATGCCTTTTACTACCATTTTGAAGCTTTTGTGTCTTAGAATACATGAGATCAAGCTTCATGAAGCTCATTATGGAGTTTTTGAATACTTAAGAAAAAAATATTGTTAATATAACTATTTGTACTCGGGATTAAAATTTTTATTCTGACAACGTTGATTAATAAAACAACGCTAGCAATTTGTGAATAGAATTTTATTGCTCGTTGAAATAACATTTCAATCATAAATTATACTTCATTTCGTATCATGGAATTTTCCAGTGGAGATGATATTCATTTAAACAATTTAAAATATTAATTATGATATCAAAAATCAATTTAACTCCAATTTTAAACGCTTTTAAATTTTTACTATCATATTAAAATTAATAAACAAAATTCCTCGTTATGATAAAATTCATATGTTCTTTAAAGTGTGCTCAAATAGCGATCAAAAAGTCTGTAAGGATAAATACAAGACAGAGTTATTTCTGCTTTAACTTACTGAAAATATTTGGAGGATTTTACAGGATGAGCTTGATAGAAATGAAAAAATGTCTTATTTACTTCACCAAAACATGAGTGAATCGCGTGTTACAGCATGTTTTTCATAGTCGTATTCAAAGTCCATTTACAGAATTAAAAGAGGCATTAAGACAAAATTATTTTAAGAATAAACTCTTACTTGGATCACGGCAAGTTAAGATGTATCCAATCATACGCATGTTTATGGTGAAATCTGTACAGAACCGATCTAAACAGTTTATCAGAGGTACTACTAGCATGAACACGATAGCGAAGAAAATCATGGCACTAACTAAAACATTGCTGATTGTAGTCTTCTTCTTTTCTTCCAAATTTTCTAGATTAGGGATGCCTTCTTCATCAGAGAAATCATCATAGTTCTAAAGAATGATGTTAAAGTTAATTAACAATATTGAAAATTTTAAAAGGGAACACTTGTTTGCGAAATGTAAGAAGTTTTTTACAAGAATCATTTACAGGTTGCTAAGCAGCGAATCCAAATGTCTGATGGTCGCGGAGCATTGATTTTGTTTTCCACAGAGGAAAGAAAAGTTTCTTCCCTATGCTGCTTTTCTTCCACACTAAACATTTCATCACTAGATTACGGAGAGTGACCAGTAAAATGTGCTTCCGTCGCTGACCGTAAAATAAATTTATATTCGTAACTCTAACGTAACCATAAAAATATGTGTTTACCCGTTAATTTTTCTCTTAAAATATATGTTTTTTTTTTTTTTTATTTTTTTAAAATCGAAATTTAACATTACGCTCGTGAAAGTTACATTCAGTGTAGGATTTGATATTTGAGACCTAGGCAATTTTTTTGTGGGATCACGGGAAATTACAAAAGCAGGTGAAATAGTACAGTGCTGCCATCTGTCAAAGGGTGAGAGACTTCCGTGTTTGCTATCCATGGTCACCAATGTGAAAGATGTTATTG